CTTCGTTTTGTTTTCTCACGTAGCAGTACAAAAGTAAGCGCTCCTTACACTTTGAGTAAAACATACGGATTCATAGTAGCACATGGTTTTTGGACATTTTTATCCAGGCCCAGGCAATTATTTAGTTCTCTTAGAAGAGCGTTCTTGAGTTGGGGATGTGGCTGGGTGATAGAATTCTTACCTTCCATGCATAAGGTCCTAAGTTCGATCCCTAGCACCACACACACAAAAATTGAAATACACTCTTATATAAATTGTTTTAAACCATACGCATAATCCATCTCTCCATTTATTATCATTAAGCATCCATATAGCATTTAAAGTTAGCATAAGTATAAATAAAATACTATGTGGAGGGTATAAATGCCATGAGAGATCACACTGGAATGGACAGGGCCCTCTTTGATTAATAAAATTCCTCTGGAGGCCATAATTTAGAGGAAGTGATCAATCACACAGTTCAGGGACAGTAAGGGATTTTCAGAGGGGCTTTTCCTGCCATTTACTTTTGAGGGAATTATCCTGTGGGTACATCACAGGTGTTTTGCAGGTATGTTTGTGTGTGGGGCCAGATCTCCAATATCCTGTCCCAGATGTGTTCTATGTTGTGAAAGTTTAATAGGCATGAAACGGTGCATGTGTTGTCCAGTACACACTATGAAATTTACTTAGGGTAAGACATACGCATAATCTAGAAACTATAAAACAGAAGTCTACTTTTAGTTAAAAATCGAGGGACCATCATTTAGCCATACTTAGATCCAAGTCGTACCAGTTTGCTCACTCACCTGCCCCCACCCTCAAATCTAAGCAAAGAATAGAATTCACCTGGCATCTGCAGTGTTGATTTATACCAGGGACAAGTAGCCACATCAGGCTGATGGGTGCATTCCGGTTGCTCCAGAATGGATGTTCTTGCTGCCTAGTTCTTCCTGTGGTGCTGCAAGCCAGACCTGGAAGAAAAGGGCTTCTCATCAGGCTTGCACAGCTCCTACGATGGGACCCTCCCCTCTGTCCAAACTCGTGTCATGACCCCAGGTCACTGCTGAAGCAGTGCGGGGTCCTGGAGCACTCTGGGCTGACTCCAAAACCTTTCCAATCAGCCTTGGAATTTGGAGTCAGCACTGATGTTTTAGGGTGGATCTGCCAAATGAAACAGCATAAAAACCGTTGATCACTAAGACATTTTAAATGCAAGGGACAATTTTTTGGAAATTAAAATTCACATTTTGCTTTCATTTCCACTTACAAGTTTGAGCAGTCACCTGACAGTGACTTGATGGCACTGATTTTTAGAATTGTAATCTCTCGGCACTAACTTCAATAAACAGTTTAAAGGAGATGTATGCTTAAGCAGCAGCACTGTAACCTGAGGAAAAGGGCACCTCTCCATTTACAAAATGTTCTGTGGTAAAAAAGATAAGAGAAGACCCTAAACTCTTGGCCTGAAGCTGCCCTCTTGTCTACCAGCAGGTGGTGGTCTATGACAGGCAGCTCTCTGGCTAAGGACTTAAAAATCAACTTCCGTCTTTTTCTTACCTGTGTGCAGTTTTCATTGTATGGAAATTGTTTTGCACTCTGGTTAAAGAGGAGTGTGCAATTAAGAATATAGTTAAAAGTAAAGGAAATTGGTATTTTAATGCAGATTTTCTTTATAATCAACATACCAGGACAATAGTGAACTTTTAAAAACTTTTTTAAAAAGTGAAAATATAGCCTTACTACAAAAAAAGCAACACGAATGTGTTTCCGAGGAAAGGGACACCTGTGAAGGAGCAAAGCAGCCCGGTGATCTTATGTGGAGACACTTGAAGTTGGTCAGGTCTGTAATCAGCCCAGAAAACATGAGCAGGCTGGTGCAGGTGGGCTGTGAAGTCTTGTGGTGGCTTCTGTCCAAGGACTGCAGGTCTCTGTGGCAGGTATAGGGCCTGGACAGCAAGAACAAGTCAGTTAGGGTTAGCGGTAGGTATTCTGGAAGCCAAAAAACAAGAACAAGGGAGAGGCGGTCACAGGAAGATGCAGATACAGTCTGAGTGTTTATTTCTCTTTATGTATAAACTGCTGCTAGTCCAAGGAGGGAACACACAGTACCGCAAAATTGCTACATAAGAAAAGATTACTGTGTACTTAAGGCAGTTGCCACATTTTGTGTCACCTACACACAGTTAATGTATTAGCTAGACTGTGCTTTCAGATTATTCTGGTGCTGAAGTGTTGTGTTTCTTCAGATTTTAATCCTTACTCTATTTTTTTTGTTTCATTTTAGGGAAATGGATTGCTCCATGTTGGTGTAGAAATTGTTTTCTTTCTTTCTTCCTTTTTTCCCCAGCATAACGCACTTCAGTTAGATGGGGCACCCTGGTTAGATTTGCCTAGTCACTTGGCTTCTGACTCATAAATTACAGAGGGCTGGCATTATCAGAACTCTAACAAGAAAGTACTACTGAGAAATGTGGATCCCAAACTTAACCCAACCACACTGTCTGTCCACACACTTCTAACACCGTGACTATACTTCAAGTCTTAGTTCACTGTCTTGTATAAGCATATGTGATCTTTTTTGTGTGCTTTCATTCCAGATATTTCTTTTTATTAGTGGAAAAGCTCACAAAACTCTCTTTTCCATCTTGAGTTAAGTAAAGCAACATGTTACTTGATTCTCTTAATAGGTCTGTGGAGGTTCTCAGTGTTCTCAGTGGCTTAACCTCACATGGGGGTAGCAGGAGAGGTGATGGCTAGTGTTGGAATCAGTGTATTTGATTTCTGAAGACCGGGGGAGATGACTTGAAAGTTTTAAAAGTAAAGATTAGTGTTTTCTCCTTTGCCACTTCAAGAGAATAGAAATTTGGCTAAATATTACTGTTAATTGTGTTTATAGATTTAAACTCAACTCAGCTATTTATCTTTAACATCTAGGTGCCAATCTTTGAATTATTCTCTACTTTTCCAGTTTCCAAAATGGATAGAGTCTTGTATGCTAAGATTTTAGGTATAGAAACAACTATTCAGTGATTACTTTTGTGACAGATTATGATATGCCTTTGATTTTTAAATTTTTAAAAAAAATTTATTTTTTTATCTTTTTGAGATAGGAGTTTGCTGTGCAATTCAGACTGGCCTTGAACTCACTTTATAGCCCTGGCTGAACTCACTTTATAGCCCTGGCTGAACTCACTTTATAGCCCTCAAACTCACAACAGTCCTCCTGCTTCAGCCTCCTGAATGCTGGGATTACCGGTGTGCACCACCATGCCTGGCTGCATTTGATAATATACAAATTTGGAAAAATGCTTGGCTAATATTGATTTTATATCATTTTTTCTCTTTTTCAAGATCGCCAGCTACAAATGTGCCAGACTATTTTAAATCATGTATTCTATTTCTTAGGCTCCTTTATACAATTCTCTTTCATTTCAATCTGGAGTTTCTAGTTTTTTAAAGGTGATAATTTTCATCACTCAAAATCTTTATCTGGAATGTTTTGTGTGTGCAGGTTCATTTGAGTCACTAGTTCTTTTTTTTAACCTGTGTTTAATCTGATGATAAACTACTGAATTCTTAACTGATTTTTTTTGTTGTTGTTGTTAAATAGATACTGGTTCATAGGTGATCATCAATCTTTTTACTTGTTTTCTTGAACATATTAAGCATCTGCTTTAATGTCAGAGTTTGATAACTCCAGCCTGGATTTCTTCTGGTTCCTCCTTTCCAAGATATTGGTTCCTCATGTCCTGAAAACTCTGGTTGTGCTCATCGGAGAGCTCCTCACACAACTGTTTCTCATGTTTCATCTCTGTACTTTTATGATTGTTCTTAAGAAGATGATTTCTTTGGAGCAGCTGTATTACCATAGGTGGAGAGGAGATTCTTCATGGATGACTTCCCCATCTTTTAAAAGTAAAAACTGGGTTTACTGCATTTATGATTTTACACCTCTTCTACAAACTCAGTTCACTTATGGTCTTACTTTGACTAAATCTGAGTCCTGTTTCACCTCTGGGACAAAATACCTGACACCCGAAACTTAAGGGAGATGGATTTATTTTGGTTCATGTTTCAGTCCATAGTTGGCTGGCTCCAAGGCAGGAAGGCACTGTGGAAGGGCCTGGTGGAGGAGAGCTGCTCACAGCCCGGTGTCCGGGGAGCACACAGTGTGAAGGGAGGAGCTGAGAAGGGAGATTCACTCTTTGAGGTCATAACCACAGTGATCCACCTCTTCTGACCAGACCCCACCTTCTAACAGTAAGCCTGGTTTGACGCTCCAACAATCTGATCATCTTTCAGAGTTCCTGCCTATAAGCACATGAGGCTTTGTGGACTACCACCAAAGACTCATGAGTATCTCTTTATGCAAAATGCATCCATCTCTTAAAAGTCACCAAAGTTTTAAGTTTCAGCATGCTCTGAACTTAGGGGAGATAGGGTTATTTTGGTTTATGCTTCAGTCTGTGGGCGGCTGGCTCTGAGGCAGGAAGGTTGATGGAGAACTGCTCAGGGAATGGCACTGAGAAAGAAGGGCATGTGAAGGAAGAGCAGGGAAGGAAGCTGCACCTCAGATCACATCCAAGGACCCACCTCTTGTGATCAGACCCCACCTGCTAATCGCAGCTCAGCGAGCAGGGCCTCAGAATCCAGTAAACTCTCAAGAGGTCCATCGGTGAGCACAGAAGGCTCTGGAGAGACATCTGGATATAAACCATGCAATGAACTTTTTATAGCATCTATACTTACTTTTTTATAGATGCTTTTATAGCATCTATACTTACTAGGGCGCATTTACTTCTTAAGAATGTTATGTCTGTTGGAGGTGTGTGTGCAGAGTTATGTCTGCCTCCAACTATAGTGTCTGTGGCTGTTATCACAGCAGTGAGGGCTGTTCATCAAGGGGGAATCTACTGATTACAGCACAGTGTGAGATAGAATTTAAAATGCATTATTGTTTACTGTTTGAAATCTCACTTATTGGGACCATCACTTTATTTTTGTTTTTCCTTCTACAGAAAAGCAGAAACTCTCCAGATGTGTTCCAGTAATGACAAGGTTTGTATCCCAGTGTCCCAAAGAAACACCAGAGGCCTTCTTGGAATGACCTTAAGTGAATTGAAGACATGTACTGAAAGGACCGTGTTAAGTTTTCATAACCTCTCCTACCAAGTAAAAATGAAGAGTGGCTTTCTCATCGGCCGGAAAACAGTTAAGAAAGAAATATTATCAAATATCAGGTATGTGCATGAACTTTTTAAAAGACCACTTTATTGACTTACAGTGGGCTTCACAGCTTTTTGCTACTGGGAGCATTGTGTGCACTCCTTTGTACAAATGTTTAGACAATACTTTCATTATTATTGACTAAACTTTCATTTCCAAGCATGGATTAAAATGACTGGTTCGCTTTGTAAGTATATGTTTAACTTTGAAAGGAACTGACAAACTTTTAAAAAATGGTACTACTGTGTGCATTGACCTTTGTTTGAAAATCTAAATGATTAATGTAGCATTTAGATTTTTTCTGGGTTTTACATTTTGGTGGAAAGAAGCATTGATATATAATTTACTGCTTTTTGATCGTGAGAGTGTAATTATAACCTCTGTGCTTTAGTTTTTGGTCTGTGTAATAGAAGACTTGCTGGTAAGTGAAACAGTCATTAGGTATGTGCCCTATATGTGCTTTGTATTCTAGTAGTAAGAATGTTACAGTGATAGTGTACTGTGAAGTACTTTGTTTTTCAAACAGACCTGTCTTAAATGAATTGCCTGTTTATAATAGTTCATAGAATATAATAATTTACTCAAGTACTTCTCTGTTACAGAGACAAACAGATAATATTTATAACATAACTGTAAGTTACACAGTTAGAAGTTGAAATTGATGAGAATTTAGGATTCAAATTGTGGTGGTCTCATGACCCCCGTGGGAAGCCAAGACTCGGAGACTCCAAATTTGGGGAGCAAAGGCTTTATTAGCAGGCCTGGCTGATGCAGACTCTTGGGATCGATCCTGAGAATGCGCGCCTCACAGACTAAGCGCTCTGAATTTAAGCACAAAAACCGCAAAAAAGGAGGAGATGGGGTGAAAGCACAAAAACCACAAGAAGGGAGGGGATGGGGTGATAGGAAAGCAGGGGGCGCTTTGCTCAGTTGCACAAGGACAGCTGGTTCTTTCATTATGTCTTTTTAAGGGAACATTATCTTGGTCTAACACAACATGTTTATCAGCACAGCATAATAGTCAGGTCGCAAAGACCCGAGAGAAATTCCACAGCATAACATGTTTATCATGGCTACTCGGGCGCATACAAAACAGCAATGTAGCGCAAGGTTATAACACAAATAAATGCGGTTATTTCTGCTTTAAAAAGCACCTAGTAATTATGATTTTTGTTTTTTTATCTAACAGTGAATTCAGCATTCATAGCCTGGTGCTGAAGTGGGAGCTAGTGTGGGAGGGGAATGAGCATTTCTACAGCACCTGCTCACTGCCCAGTATCTTAGTTCACACATGCCGGCCCTCAGAGCTGTTAATGTTCTCTAAGTGCTAGAGAACTGAGCCTTTACTGCTTCTTTATGTTGTTGAGAAGTATATTTGGGTTTGCTCAAAGATACACATCCTGAAAAACTGAAAAACTCTTTCCGAAATGCAATAATCAAAATTGTTTGTTCTTCGTATTTTGTCTAAAGGGATAGAAGGTAGCGTAAGTGAATATGTGCAGTTAAACAGGTATAAAATGCATACTGTGTGAGAGCATGTTTGCTTTGCTCATCTTTTCAGCCTGGTAAATTGTTGATTTGATGCATTAAGTGTCTCATCTCAAAGCTTCACACTATTTTCATGGCTGAATGGTGTACATTTTGTGATTGGAAGCCATCATCTTATACTTTTATAAGCAGCCAAATCTACAATTCATCTAGTTTTTATAATGGAGAAGGCAGTGAGGGCTGGGACTCACTCATTCACATCCCTGGCTGGACATCCATGACAATCCATCCCGTCACTGACTTCAGTGTCTCCAGGCTTCCTCCTGTCTGCTGTTTCCTGTGAGAAGCCTCCAGGCTGTGGGAAGGTTGCTCTCATTCTCTCAATTCTGATTTACCTGAGAGCACCATCACCATTCAGACAGGAAAACTGCATTCCAAAAAATGATGACAGTCTTGATTTTCCATTGAATTTTTGTTTTTCGTTTCCTTTTGTAAAGAGGATAAAACAATCTGATCATGTCAGTTCAAAAGATTTTCCTCTTTTCTGAAACATCTTTTTGCTATGCTTAGTTATTTGCACACCCACACTTGAGCATTTTCTGGGTGTTCAGAATGCTCATTGCTGTGAGTGTCACTGCTCCTAATTCTTCTCAAAGGAAAGACTAGGGAGTATGTGCGTGCATGCCCATATACACAGGTGCATACATACAAACTATAACTTGTTAAACAAAAGCCTGCCTTGCACAAGTGTATGTGTGTGTTTCCCAGGAGGGATAAGAGAAGCAGTAGACAGCAGGCAGCTGCTCCTGTTCTACCCTGAGAGTCTTCCCTAGTTCTCTATAGTTTTCTACAGATGAAACCCATGACTTGTCACTGACGTGCCAATTCTAAGCTAACATTTTGAGTCTTTCCATGTCTCCATGTTGGTAAATCTCAAAAACTTAAATATTAGGCTCTTAATACACTTAACTGATTTGCTCAGTCTTCTTATTCCCTCTTGGGAGCATCTACTCAGCCTCAGCTGCCTTCTGTCTTCCTCTACCCCACACTTCGCAGCTTGTAGTCTTGGAGCTGGCAGTCGCTGCACTGCTACCCAGAACGTCCATCATCTTCCTGCTGAGAAAGGGTGGGAATGGAAAGTCCAGTAGAAATGATTTATACCATACTTAAACATGAAATAACAAATTTGAATATAACAAATATGAATAACAAATATGAATATAAATTTTTTTTTAGGAAGAATATACCTCTTTTTAAATAAATTGTCTCCTATTCCTTGATTTTTGCTTTTTATTGGAAACATTTTCATCACTATTTTCTTCATAGCAGATCTCATTTATTTATCTATTGTGGTTTTTTGGTGTTTTTTTTTTTCGCTGTACTGGGGATCGAACTCATGACCTTGTGCTTGCCAGGCAGGTGCTTATGCCACTGAGCTATATCCCTAGCCCTGATCTCATTTATTTAAAAATGTGGATTCATTTACTTTGTAAATTTTGAATGCCTGTGAGGTGCTTGGTATTATGCAAAATGACTTCTGACCCAGATGTGTGTTCTTTTCTCAGAAACTTCATAGTCTGATGAGGGATTCACAATACTAGAGAACTAGAGAACTTACTGTGTTATTTTGTGACAGATACATTAGAAGCTACTAACTCTGAATTGGAGGTCTGGGTGCATGGGAATTGAGAAGTGAAAATGTGCATGTGCTTGTGTGTGTATATGTGTGTGTGTGTGTATAAAGAGGCATGCTGTGCTCCAAAAATGGCATTGACATCTCTTATCTGTAAACTAATCAAGGCCAAAGATTGGCCAATAGCCACTAAAATGTAATAGATTTGACAGGAAACCTTCAAGTAAGTTTCGTTTCATGTATTATGTCATCCTGTTACTACTTCCCTCTCTTTGCCCTCCCCATGTATGCTACAGGGCAGCAGTAGCAGGATGACACAGTTCTCTTGGGAATGTTTTACAGGAAAAGGAGGGAAAACTGCACGCAAACGCTGTAAATCAGTGAGGTGGACAAGGATGCCTTGTGAGGGGTGATGAAGAGGGGAGGGTACGGAGACCAGCAAACTCTTACCACAAAGGACTAGATGATAAATATTTTCTGCTCTTTGAGCCATGCTTCTGTGTTGTAAGGAGAGACTGTCTTTGTAAAATGAAAGTCATAAACACTGGGTAAAGTGTGGAGCGAGGCTGTATTCCAAGCATGCTAATACGGAGAACAGTGACCAGCTCCAGTGTGCTGATCCCTGGGCTGGACACTCGTGCACTCAGGAGGGCAGGCCTTTGTCTTTTTTTTGTTCTCAGCTCTAATCCGTGGACTAGAAAAATGGCTTGTATATACATAGTACACACTTAATAATTGTGCTGAGTGAATGGAGGTGGAGTTGGACCCTGCTCTGATGGGAATTGTGCACTTGGGACGATGCGTTACTGTTGTTTTCTGTAATGGTAGGGCTTAGGGTCAAAGGAAGCCAAACTCAGCAGCGTGTTCAACTAACACATTCACATTCAGTTTCTGGTTGAATCATTCAGGATTGCTTGTTGTTATTTGAGTATTTTTAACACCTGAAAAGGTTTTATGGCAGTGAAGCCTTAGTGAATAGATAGCTTATTTCTTATTTTAGAAGCAGTTTCTAGGTGGTTATTAAAGAAGATGTATCAAACCCACTAGATAAATGCACTTTGACAGATTTACCCAATCATTAGGATTGTTTGTGTAGTGCTTACCATCAAATTCAGCACCTCGTGCATGCTAAGGAGTGTCTCTACCACTGGCCTACCGACCATCAGGGTGTCTTTCCCTTAGAGTGTAATTCATGTCAATCAAGGAATAAGACTTTTCTGTACTTATTTGTCTCAGGTTTATGGAACACCCATTGTCTGTGTGATGTTTTGGTGACAGGTGCCCCAGTGTATGAGCAAAGTGAAAGTACATTTCACCCTATACTCTACTAGCCAGTTTTAAGAACTGGCGATGGTTTCTTGCCCTTTGAGTGCTTCAAGCTAACTTTTGGATTTCTGTTAAGGAAGTGTTGATTTTTAGTCTCATGTTTTCTGTGGCGAGAACACTGCTACAGACATTCTACTAATCCGTGATTAATTCATGGTATAGGGCTTCAGTAGGTTGAAGGTGAGGTGATTTGTAAATATTATAAACATTACAAGTAAGTTCCCAACTTACGAACGCTCAGGGTGCAGACTTTCACAGATAGGAGCAGACCTTGCATTACATTTATAGGTGTGAACAAATTGCAGAAGTAGCTCACCTATCTGCTGGACATTGTCACACTGGTGCTGCTGTGTGTTTCTGATACGTTGTGATAATGTACAATATACAATAAAATCAGGAACTTACTGTATTTTTGTGTTTACTTTTTTATGCTTTATATTGTGTGTTTGTGTCAAAAGTGTATGTAAGATTCACTTTGTTGGACTTACAAATGAGTCTGACTTAAAAATGTTCTCCCAAGAAGGAACTTGTCTGTAAGGTGAGGACTTCCTATACTCAGAAGCTATAATGTACTTAAAACTATGTTAAAAGGTACAAATGTAATAGAGAAGCTTCAAGATAATCTGTTGCTTATCTCAGGGAACCTTGACATTGAATGTTCCAACAAGGATTCAAGGTTTAAGAATAAATTAATTTATAGGAACTGGAACTATTTTTTCTTATAGGTCATAACTATTGATTTACATACTTTGTAAAATAGTTTTTTATTAATCAACGATTTTTATTCTTTTTTCATGTTGGTATTTGTTTTTTGTCCAGTGTCATAAACCCTCATTGAATGTATTCAATGCAGACCTTAAATTAAAAGAAGTTAGTTTAAGGTGGAATAATAAATTGGTGTGGCTTTGTGTTTACAGTGGGATCATGGAACCAGGCCTCAATGCCATTATGGGGCCTGCAGGAGCAGGCAAATCTGTGTGAGTATAACAGAAAATGTCAGTACGCCTTTTCTGTGCAGTTTCAGTTTGATTTTAGAAATCACTTTTACATGTGCTGGTGTTGGTTGAGAATTTGCTGTGCATGACCAGGCTGGTTCTAGGAGCTGTGGATAACATGCAGCTGGGCCAGCTTTTGGTTTTGTGTCAAAGACTTGAAAGTCTTCTCAGATGAGCTGTATGAATAGGGGTTGATAAAGTGAGTGGCATACAGTAATGGGACATAGTGTGCGCTAATGCAAAGAGAAAAGACTGGGGTAATATAAAAAGTGGGGAGTTGAAGCAGAAAGTCTAAGTGAGGGTATGAATCTTAGAAAAGAGAGCACACTGCCTAGACTGAGGTGACCAAACATAGACAGCAAGAGATTGTTTGGGAGCTCTGTGCAGAATAAGCCAAGGATGTCTTGCTTTTATGCTGTTGGACTTTCTTGTAGCACATAAAGAAAAGTGAGGATTAACAATATATACATATTAGTACATAAATCGGTTTTTATATTAAAATTATAT